CTGATTTCTTTTTGTCACTAAATATTTTTCTATGGATGTACCGTTTGTTTTTCCCTTCATCTATTGAAAGATATCTTGATTGCTTCCAGTTTTTGATGAATACGAATAAAGCTGCTTTAAACATTAGTATGCAGATTTTGGTGTGGACATAAAATTTCCATTTTGGGGGGTAAATATGTAGGAGCAGGATTGCTGGATCATACAATAAGTGCTTAACTTTGTAAGAAACTGCCTGTCTTCCAAAATGGCTCTACCATTTCATATTCCCACCAGCAAAAATGAAAGTTCCTATTGTTCTGCATCCTTGCCAGCAATTGGTATTGTCAGTTTTTTGGATTTTAGCCATTCTAATAGGTATATATTGATATCTCATTGTTTTAATTTGCATTTACATTTCCCTAATGACAAAGGGTGTTGAGTATCTTTTCAGGTGCTTGTTTGTCATATATATATTTTCTTTACTGAGTTGTCTGTTTAGGTCTTTTGCCCATTTAAAAAAATTGGATTGGTTGTTTTCTTGTTGAGTTTTAAGAGTTCTTTGTATATTTTGGATACAACTCCTTTGTCAGATATGTGTTTTGCAAATATTTTCTCCCAGCCTGTGGCTTGTAATTTCCTTCTCTTAACAGTATCTTTTGCAGAGCAGATGTTTTAAATTTTAATAAGCTTAACTTACCAATTTTTTCTTTCATGGATCATGCTTGTGGTGGTGTATACAAAAACTCGTCACTAAATTGAAGCTCATATAGATTTTTATCCTGTGTTTTAGAAGTTTTATAGTTTTGCATTTTACATTTAGGTTTATAATCCAGTTTGAATTAACTTTTGTGAAAAGTATAAGGTCCGTATCTATGTTCTTCTTTTTTTATTTTTGTTTTTTGCATATGGACATCCAGTTGTTCCAGCACCATTTGTTTAAGAGATTATCCTCTCTCTATTCAACTGTTTTGTTCTTTTGCTAAAGGTTAGTTGACTGTATTTTTGCAGGTCTATTTCTGAACCCTCCATTCTGTTGCAGTGATCTATGTGGCTATTCTTTTGCCAATACCATGCTATCTTGATTACAGTGAGTGTTTTCTCTTTTTAAAATTATACTTGAGGATTTTTCTTTTTATACCTTTGTGAGCCAGTTTTGAATTTCTTTGCTAATTCTAACAATTATCTTTATTTCTTTTCTTGAACTTGTTATTGTTTTCTCTAGCTTCTTCAGTTAAACTAGTTAAGCTCACTTTATTTTCTCTTAAAATATGTGTCTGCTAGGGCTGCCATAAAAAAAATACCACAGACTGGGTGGCTTAAACAGCAGAAACTTATTTTCTTACAGTTTTGGAGGCTAGAAGTCTAAAATCAAGGTATTGGAAAATTTGTTTTTTGGTGAGGTCTCTCTTCCTGGCTTACAAATGGCCACGTTCTCACTGTGTCCTCACATGACCTTTTCTCTGTGCACAAGGGAAGAAGAGGAGCGGGGTGAAGATATCTCTGGTGCCTCTTCCTCTTCCTGTGAGGACACCAGTTCTATTGGATTAGTACCCCACCTAATAACCTCATTCAACTTTAATTACCTCCGTAAAATACAGCCACACTGGGGGTTAGGGCTTCAATGTATGAATTTTGGGGGGGTTACAGTTCAGTCCATAACAATATGATAAAAGCCCCATTGCTATAAATTTGTTTCTGCATATAGATTTAGCTTTGTACTACATTCTTTGTTGTATCGTATCATCATTATTCTCTACAGGTTGTTATTGTACTCTTATTTCTTCATTGACCTTATAGTTAATTAGAAAATGGTGCTTTTCCCTTGTTCTCCAGGATTTTTTTAAGCCCTCTGTTTTAAAAGTCAATGTGGAAATCTGTAACACTGTGGGCATTGTTTTGATATTTTGAGTTTATTGAAATTTCCTCTGTAGTCTAATAGGGTGGTTCTTAATTGTAGGGGACATTTGGATGTGTGCATTTTTGGTTGGTGTCATGATGTGCAGTGGGAAGAGGTCAGTTTCTACCTAATCGGGGCAAGTGAGAACTTCTGGTTCTCTTCTATGCCATAGGCCAGTCATGCCATTGTGTGTCATATGTTTCTCTCTGTGTGTCTGTTGGGGTGGGGAGGAGAGGGAGAGAGGGAGAAAGAAAGGGTGAATATATTAGGCCCTGTCTTCCTCTAAATATGCCACACTGCCATTGCTGCTTTGGAGCTGTCAGGGGTAGGTGTGGAGCACTGTGTGTGGAGTCTCCTCCCAAGTTCCAGGTATGCAGTGAGGCAGAGCCCACAGGGCTCTGGTTTTCCCATTCTCTTTGGTGATCTCTATCCAACTCCAAGATTTCACCTCTAATGGGATGAGTGCCAGGGAGCAGCCTCACGTGTGTGTCACTTGTGTCTTCTGCAAACTCATCCCCTCTGATGGTCTTCTAGGTCCTTCCCATTGTCTGGGATGGGCTTTCTTCTCTAGGTGGCAGGAAGCAACTTAAATCAATCCTGCAATCTTCCTCTTTTAAGACTCTTGTTAAAAATTGCGCTGAAAACTTTTGAAAATTGTAAAGCACTATAAAATTGAAAGAGTCTTTCATTCAATTAAAAAAAAGTTAATAAAACAATTGTGCTCAGTCTTTCAAGGTCTGGCCCTTGATCTCTCAAGGGAGACTTTTTTCCCCCAGATGAATGTTTGTAGTGAGGAAATTTGAAAATTTTCCTATTAACTTCTAATTTTGATATAATTTCAGACTCAAAGTCTGAAAAGTATGAAGAATTCTCAAATACCCTTTACACAGATTCTCCAAGTGTTAACATTTACCACATCCTCTGTCTTCCTGTCCACAAGAGGACACACACATGCACACAAATCAGGAAATAAGTATCGATACAATACTATTATCCAATTGACAGCCTTTCTTCATGCTTTGCCAGTTGTCACACTAAAATCCTTTCTAGCAAAAGAAAATTCAAGATAATGCATTGCATTTAATTGTCATGTCTCTTTAGTCATTCTTTGTGTTTTATGACATTAGCATTTTGGAAGATTATAGGCCTTTTATTTTGTAGACTGTTGCCCAGTTTGGGTTTGTTTATGTTTCCATATATTGGGTTCAAGTTATGCATTTTTGGCAGAAATCCCACAGAAGTGGTACTGTGTTCTTCTCCATGAATCATATCAGGAAATGCATGATGTTGATTGTTCCATCACTGATGATGTTAACTTTGATCATTTGATTAAGGTGGTGTCTGCCAGGTTTCTGCACTGTAAAGTTACCATTTTTCTTTTTGTACTGAGTAAGTTATCTCATGGAAGGATACTCTGAGGCTATTATCCTGTTATTCTTCAAACTTTCACCCATGAGTTTTATTATCCATTGATGATTCCTACCTGAATCAGTTATTATTATGATGGTTACCAAATGGTTATTTTCTAATTCCATCATTTCTTCTACATTAATTAGAATGTTTTTTGACTCTAAGGAAGAGCTTTCTAATGGAGGACTTTTGGAATTTAGAAAATGCTTTTTCTCTCTCAAGGAGTTGAGCTCCTGCAGTTGAATGTCTGCCTTTTACAACTGTTGTCTTTTAAACTCAAGACTGAGCTATGAGGCCTTTTTCTAGGCTGTACCCATCTTCTGTCTGAGACAATGACTACCCTGCGACTATGGGTGAAGAGCCACAGGGTCACACGAATGATTTCAGCCTAGGAAAAACCCCTGGGTTTAAAAGCTTCAGTATCACCTTGCTATAATAATTTTTAGTATTGCAAGTTTTCATATTTTTGTGTCTTTCTAGGTACTTTAGTTTAAAATTGAGTGAAACTGCTATTAAAGAGGAATTATGTGATCAAAAATAAATATATTACCACTCTGGATATGTGATGCAACTTAAACCAATAACAGAACGTTGCCAAATTGCTGACTCGATGAGCCTGCTTTAATGAATATTTTAAGACCCCTAATAGTAGTGGTTGCAAAACAACTAAAGTTTGAAAAGAACTTTAAACCTTTTTGCTTTCTGAGTAGCTTACCCCTCTCCCTGCAAGGCTTATACCACTAATTTGCTAGATTAACTCATCAAAGATTGTACAAGGATTATGGTTGTAATGTCAATCCTGGTGATGCCAGATTATTATGAATTCCAAATTAGGCAATTGGATTGATGAATTTTTTTTTACTGTCAGAAGTTGTACGTTATGAATTTGGTGGTGTTTGTGTGTTAGGGTGAACGTATCTTGCCTGTATTGTCTCCGAGTAGATGCTTGAATCAGATTTGTTTCAGAGGTAGGTGATGAATCCTGTAGTGTCTTCAAGACTTGTCATGTTTTCTTAAGCAAAAACATTTCTGTGCCATAACCTGGCAGATTCTCTCATATTAAGGCAAAGTGATATTTATTTATGTTAGCAGTTTCTTGTAAATATACAGTGTCTGAAGTAGCTAGTAGAACATGAAACAAATTACATTAAACAAAAAGAGTTAAAAACCACAATTTCCTAATTTCTTTATGGGTATTATCTCAAGAGAATAAATAAAAGAAAAGAAGGCTAATTGCTAAGTGTCTCCCCAGTTTTCTCTCTGAAACACATTCTGTTATTTTAATGACTGACCCTATATCTGAAATCTAAACCTTGGGGATCTAAAATAAAAAATAAAAACACAAAGTTATGCAGTGTGCACATTCTCCTATTAAGAATATTAGACTTTGGGTACATTATCTCCAGTTAATTAATGTGATATTTTAGTGCACCCTTGTACATCCTCTTTGCACAGAAGTTCTAGGGAAATTCTGTTGATTATCTTGATTGCTCTGTTTCGAGTGGCTCATGTGTACAAAGATGATTATCATTTCTACCTGAAAGTGACATTGTCTTTTTTTTTTGAAAGTGACATTGTCTTAAGAAACATGTGTGGAGGGAATTGAGGAATATTGCAGAGAACATTAGGTCTTATCTTTTTTAAAATAATTGTTCACATAAACAATTCCTTATTTATTTTGTGTGTATTGAACACGTGATTTTTAAATCAATAGATCCTTCTTGCTACGAACACGAAGATACCTTTTTCTCTGTGTTTCACACTCAAGTCCCTCCAGAAGACTATGAAAACTGTATACAGAATGTCAATAAAGGTATGTGATTTTACATACTGTCACAAGAAGATACTAGCAGTATGTAGAAATATTCACAGGTGAAACGATTTGATGTGATTTATTTCAGTGGTGAGTGGAAGTAGGTGAGGTTATAGATGAAACAAGATTGGTCATTATTGAAGTTAGTTGTTGAGGGTCCATTATACCAGTCTTTCTACTTTTGGATTGAAATTTTGTATAATAAAGAGCTAAAGAAGATCTGGCTGCAAGTAATAGAAACCTAGCTTTAAGTGAAAAAGAAAATTTATGGAAAGAATCCTGCTGGGAGACAGCTTCTTTGATTCCCAAGAGCATATCCTGTGGCTAGTCATTGAGAGGGCAATTCAATTCCTAAATCCTAGAGAAGAGACCAACTGATCTGTCTTGGGTTAGGTGCCCACCCTTGGTTCAACCAACTCATCCAACCTAGCAAGGGTTGGGGTCACTATAGGAACATGGCAGCTTCTGCCCTGAATCAGGATGGAGAGAAGAGGACATTTCTAGGGAGATAATTCCTACCAGACAATCTAAGGTTTAATCCTACAATTTATTAAAAGTATATTTTAAAGAAACTATTATAAATGTAGACAGAGATGCATTTAATTTGATTTATTTTAATGTTGTATTGTTTAAGAGAATATGAAACTTCAGCTGAATGAATAGACTTCATATTTCAACTTAAAAGACTGTATACAATTTGGATTATGGGAAAAAGTTATATATTTTATATCTAAGAAGGCCACTCACCAAAAAAGTAACTCATACTTTAACTATTGATAGTTTATTAAAAAAAATCATGTTATTGATTAAAGAATAAAACCCCAATTATAAAGGATAGAAAAGTAAAACTTTTCTTTTGTCTGAAAAGAAATTAAATCCAGAGATCTCACCCTTTTCCTTGTTCTTTTCAGCTAGTGTTATCAACATTTATTCTTTAATTATTAAATTTGTACTGAATCTTTGATAATAAGCTGTAAATACACCAATTGAAGTAACCTCTCTTATAAAACAAAGGTAACTTTTAAGTAAGCCTTGTCTGCATTGAGCTACTGGCTAGTGTTTTTTTCTGTTGGACTTTAATATGGCAATTTATCCTATTTTGTAAGGTGGACTCCATTTGTCATTTAAGAAGACTCTTCTTAATGTGTATTTTTAGAGCTTTAATGAAGGATTCACATAATTTTTTAAAAAATGCTTTAAATGTGACTACAATGAAAACAAGATATTTTATAAAGGGGATAAGAGTCCACAAGTATTTTTCTTACTCTTGTCTTGAGTACTCAGGGTCTGGACAACTCAGAGGCTGACTCAAATCTCTTTTCAAAGGTTGAGAAAAACTGATAAATTGAAATGGGTTTTAGGGGTTTGTGCAGATAGGATGTGGAACATCCAGGACACTTATGCCCAGACTTTGCTTAAAAGACAGGTTTGAACAAAAAGTTTATTGTTCTGAGAGGGTGATGGCAAATTAATAGAGTAGTGGGTAATGACTCTAGTCTTTAGGGAAAGTTTTATTTCATATAAAGACTAAAATAAAATATATTTTAAAATTCCCATGACATCAGAGATTTCTCCTTTACTTATATCACTTGAAGTTCTTTTTGTGTTTCCCATGATTCCAAAGGAATCAGCATAAGAAGTTTGATACAGGATAATGAATAACAAAAGAAGTTTTATGAGAACTTCATGGAAAATTATGGGAACACATTTATCTTTTTAAGAATAAATCTCTGGGGAATTCCCTGGTGGTCCAGTGGTTAGGGCTCTGCGCTTTCACTGCAGGGGACACGGGTTCGATTCCTGGTCAGGGAACTAAGATCCTGAAAGGCGTGTGGCACAGCCAAAAAAAAAATCCCTGTATGTATTAAGTTTCTGGATCTGGAATTTAGAAGTACTTCTATGTGTGTTTTATTTCTTATATATCCTAATATATGCTTAAGGTAAAATTTTAGCATAATGGACAATTATAATTCTGAAAAATTTTGAACTTTCTTAATATTAGATTTTACGTATGGTGTGGAAAGAAATGAGTCATTGATCAAAGCAGAAAAGAAACCTTTCTCAAATACAGAAAAGATTGAGCTCAGGGGTAAACACAGCCAGGATTTTATTAAGCGAAACATTGAGGTATGTACTTAGAAATTTAGAAGCCAGAATGTGGGATGAAGTGAGCTGCAAGCATGGAAATAGTTGTGTTCATTGTCTTTAAATATTTTTTTTGACCATGATGCACGTGTATGTAATTGAAACACTATATACAACTGATAGAAAAGTTTTATGAGCCAGTACTTAACTTCACTATTTTCTTCTCCATCCTATCCTATTCTATCCCATCCTACCCCTTTTAAAATTGCTAGCTGCAACTTACTACATTTGTTTCATTATGCAGAAATGAATCTGGTTCCTGCAGTTTGAAAAACATTTATTTAGAAAATAGTTTTGGACAGTGTTTCCCAGATTTTAAATTGCATATTTAAAATCAATTTTAAAATTGTTTTATTAAAGTAATGAGACTGATTTTATAACTGGTGCATTTAGAAATTTGAATGGAAAATTCTCCTGGCAGAGTTGGAGAGGCCAACTGGTTGTCTGCCCACTGCCCCTGCCCCTTCCGCCCAACTCTAGCAGAGCTTCCTGGCAGCCTGTCACTTGTCTCTTGCTCTGATTAGCTCCCTGATTTAGGGGCTCAACCTTGGTCTTACAGGCCCTGCGGTCTCACTTGGTTTGTCCTTAAGGCAGACTTAGACTAACTAAGGGCACAAGAACTCCTGTATTAGACCAGAATGCAAATTAATTTATAGCAAGAAATATAAGTATGGGACAGAGGCTCATGGCAAACCACTCAGGCAGTTAGGTCACTAGAAAGCTACATTGGTGAGTATGAAGTGTTAAGAGGAGAGAGTTAACATAGTTCAAGCCTGATGCTTTTTCCACAATTAGCACGTCTTTTCCAGGCAGACTGGATCCATGGGTCAGCCTGCTGCTGTGAGGACTGACCTCTGGGACTCTCGATTTTTCTGTGCTCCATCTTCGTATGATCTGAAGGAGACCTTCTCCAGCTTGCTCTGTCTCTTTGTGCTGGCTCATTATATGTTGATTTAGTGTTTAATTTTCCAAGAGCAGTAAGGTTTTCCCCATATCCAAGTTCTTGCTGACACAGACAGCAGCTCCACCATATATTTCCCTTTTAACAATAGTAACTGAATCTTATTTAAACTCCTGATATGATATTCTTGAAATTTAAAAGCAGTTTCATTTAGTGAATATATGCCACATAGGAAGTGGTAAGATTCCTTCCAAATGTCTCAGCAAATATGTTTTTGCATTGATACATATTATATAAAGAGAGGTTTGCAAACTGCCCATGTTTTAATTTTAAATAAAATGTTTATTGAAATGGTTGAATATCTTTGCTTGGAGAATGGACCTCTATCAAAAATTTGGCATAAAGTAAAATTACCTAGCAAATGAAAATGCCTACTCTCACAAATTTTACCTTAGTGTTTCTGTATTGTAGAAGCCTCAGGTCCCATTTTTATTTTTCCTGAAGTATGAATTGCTTTGAGTATTTAATATTTTCCATTCATACATTCTGTAGTTGGCCAAGAATTCAGGACAACCAGTAGTTATGATTGACAGAGAGAAGAAAAGGCTGGTTGAACTTTTGAAGGACTTGGATAACAGTGGTTTGGGGCTGTCCAGTTCTGAGGTAAGTAAACTCTGATATTCCACAAGCTCTACACTTCTTAATTTTTATTCCTTTAATCATGTTATTGACCCATTAGCATAAATTTGTAGTAATTTTTCAAATTATGGAGCAATATTTCTGACTTAAAAAAATCCCGTTTTGGGCTTCCCTGGTGGCGCAGTGGTTGAGAGTCCTCCTGCCGATGCAGGGGACACAGGTTCGTGCCCCGGTCCGGGAGGATCCCACATGCCACGGAGCGGCTGGGCCTGTGAGCCATGGTCGCTGAGCCTGCGCATCCGGAGCCTGCGCTCTGCAACGGGAGAGGCCGCAACAGTGAGAGGCCGGCGAACTGCAAAAAAAAAAAAAAAAAAAAAATCCCATTTTACAAACTTATTTTTATCTAAATTTTCCAATTTATTCTTGCCGATTCATTATTGACTCTCCTATGTCATTATAAGAGTGACTACAATTGGCTTTCACAATAATAACCTCTGCCTATGATGTGATGGGCTTGGTCATTGATGACATAGAATTGTGTTTCTCTGGATCCTTTTATTTTGGACATTTCTTATTATCCCTAAACTGGTTCCATGATATTTTAGCATAGTCTTCAGTAATCCTGAAGAGCACCATCCTGCTCCTGCCCAGGTACCGCTGGGCATCTAGTTCCCTGAAGAGTCTGGGGCGAGCACAGACTGAGTCTAAGGAGGGGAAAAGCGTGAATCCAGGGTGCGAATGCAGGTATTTATGGGGCCCAGACAGGCACATAAGGAGTGCAGTGGCTCAGTGTTTGCGCTTGTTTGCATATTAAACTTATAGCCATATTCTTTTTATTTATTTATTTTTTTTAAAGTTATTTCTGAGATATACATTTTAAAGTAATAACTAGAATTATGACATAACATTATATCAGAACATATAAGATTTTTAGAAATTTCATGTAATGTCTGAAACATTTATATTAACATATTTCCATACAAATAACCCAAAGAAAGTTTAGTATTAGTTTTTTTGTTTGTTTGTTTGTTTATACTGCAGGTTCTTATTAGTCATCAATTTTATACACATCAGTGTATACATGTCAATCCCAATTGCCCAATTCAGCACACCACCATCCCCACCCCACTGTGGTTTTCCCCCCTTGGTGTCCATACGTTTGTTCTCTACATCTGTGTCTCTATTTCTGCCCTGAAAACTGGTTCATCTGTACCATTTTTCTAGGTTCCACATACATGCGTTAATATACGATATTTGTTTTTCTCTTTCTGACTTACTTCACTCTGTATGACAGTCTCTAGGTCCATCCACGTCTCAACAAATGACTCAATTTCGTTCCTTTTTATGACTGAGTAATATTCCATTGTATATATGTACCACAACTTCTTTATCCATTCGTCTGTCGATGGGCATTTAGGTTGCTTCCATGACCTGGCTATTGTAATATTCTTACTTCTACAAAGAAATACATTCTCCTGTGTGCCTTGAAGCTCTTAGCCTTGTTGTCTAGTTTTTATTCCCCTATGTTTAATAGAGATGATGTGGTAAATGCTGCTGGCACCCTGCCCAGATCCCTTTTACCTGGCACATGTGTGCATCCATCCCCCTGCCCTGTGCCAAGGGTGCACAGCTGCTTCCTTCCCTGGAGAATTGCCCTGGGCTAAATGGGAGCTGACCAGCCCAGGACAGCAGCCCCCGCCTCCCCTCACATCCCCTCACCTTGAGATGAGATTAGCTGTGCCCTGCAGTTTGTCCTCCACCTCTTCCCCAGGGGTCACCCAGTCTTCAGCTGAGACCATATCCTCGCCTAGCTTTGTTCCCTTGTCCTAGCCTGCTCCCCTCACACCCCTAATCCTGAAAGCATCCCCCCACTAAGTCACTTAAACAAGAATCTCTGCCTCAGGTTCCAGATCTAGGGAACCCAGCCTAAGACGTGTAGGTTCAGAGGGTAGTTTTTGCTCTGGGTAAAAAGCAGAGCATGTGCAGCAATATCTGTAGCCAGTGGGGGAGAGTGTGCTGGTCCGTGGCTGCTGCTGCGTGGAAATCCTGCCCAGGGCTGCCTGGATCCTCCAATTCGTCAAGAGAAGCTAGAAATTCAGATGAAAAGAAAAAAAATAACAGTTCTCTATCATTCCCACTCCAGGAAAGGCCAGTGTTGTACTGGTATATATTCCTCCAGGTTATGTATTCACAGCTGACACTGTGGTCTGTAGAAATGGAGTCTCCAGACACTGCAGGTTGGTAGTGGAGAGCGGTTGTGTGTGCTGGCTTTGGCAGTCTGTTGTCACCTGGGCTAGAATGCAGGATCCATCATTTCTCAGTTCTGTCACCTTGGGAAGTTATTTCTCTTCACCTCAGTTTCCCCCTATTTCTGGAGAGAAATCTAAAGTGGTCTCACTGGCCTAGGATCAGTGTTGGCAGGGGGCTGCATTCCTCTCTGGATGTCCTTCAGTAATTAATTAGTCTCTAAAATCTTACATCTTAACAGGAAAGGATCTGTGGTATGCTTTTATTTCCCTCTTCTCCCCTTTCCTCTCCTCCAGAATGTATTGAAATCACCTGGAATTTTAGTTCCAGGATGTTAGAAGTTTTTCCCTTTACTTAATAAATTAATAAATAAATTAATTTATTTATGGCTGTGTTGGGTCTTCGTTGCTGTGCGCGGGCTTTCTCTAGCTGTGGTGAGTGGGGGCTACTCTTCGTTGCAGTGCACGGGCTTCTCATTGCAGTGGCTTCTCTTGTTGTGGAGCGTGGGCTCTAGGCGCATGGGCTTCAGTAGTTGTGGCATGTGGGCTCAGTAGTTGTGGCTCGTGGGCTCTAGAGCTCAGGCTCAGCAGCTGTGGTGCACGGGCTTAGTTGCTCCGTGGCACGTGGGATCCTCCCGGGCCAGGGCTTGAACCTGTGTCCCTTGCATTGGCAGGCAGATTCCTAACCACTGCACCACCAGGGAAGCCCAGAAGTTTTTCCTTTTTTTTTTGCAGTACGCGGGCCTCTCACTGTTGCGACCTCTCCCGTTGCGGAGCACAGTCTCTGGACGCGCAGGCTCAGTGGCCACGGCTCACGGGCCCAGCCGCTCCGTGGCATGTGGGATCTTCCCGGACTGAGGCACAAACCCGCGTCCCCTGCATTGGCAGGCGGACTCTCCACCACTGCGCCACCAGGGAAGCCCCCAAGTTTTTCCTTTTAAAAACAGTATGCTTCTTATATTTTAGGAATCTTTCTCAATAGTAGCCAAATTTTTAAATCACATCATTACCTGTGTATTTAAGCTCAACTAATTGTTTATTTGTACAAATCGTTTTTCCTAAGTTATTCTTATAGAATTAAAAAAAAATTTCCCTGAAATAATGATGGTGTGTAGATAATTTTTTGAGTCTTTGCCTATTCAAAAATTTATTTTTCCCTCATTTGAATGATAGTTTCAAATGGTGGTAGCTAAATCCTAGATGCAAAATCCTTTCTTTCTGGAAGCATCTAGGATTTTCTCTTTATTTTTGAGTTCACAGATTTTACCAGAATGTATTTTATGTGTGTCTTTAAAAACATTTTTGTTCCTGCATGGTACCTTGTAGGTAGGCCCTTTTTATCTGAAGGTTCAAGTCTTTTTTCTGTGTAGAAAATTATCTTATTTCTTCCCTTCTATCATCTCTTTTTCTTTCCTTTTGGGCTTCCTATAAAGTGGGATATCAGTTGGGAATGGGATTGACTTCAGGTAACAGAAAACTTTATAAACAGTGACTTCAGCAAGAAGTTTATTTTTTTCAGTAACAAGAAATCCAGGTATAAATAGCTAATGTCTTTTGATCTTCTTGACCCATGTTTGTAGTGTGGTTTTGTTTTTAGGTGTGCAAGATTGCTGCTATATCTGTATGTAATGTGTTAATTTTCCAGGCAGAAAGAAAGGGGGAAGGGTAAGGAGAAAAGAGACTCCTCTGAAGTTTTGCCTTTTCCTTTGGGAAGATGTGGTGTCCCCACGACTTCCACCTGCATCTCACTGGCCAAGCTGTCACGTAGTCATTTGTTTCATACAGCTCTGCAAGCGAGACTGGGGATTCAAGTGTTTCATTTTCTCTTTTTTTGTAGCAGAGGAAGGCGAGAAAGGAGGAGATTGGAAAAGGGGACTAGGTCAGTCAATGTACCAGACCATAGATGGGTATAGAATCTCCTGGATCTCTCCTCCAGGTCTTAAAATATTTTTCTCATAATCTTTATCTTTTTTGTCATTTTGCTCATATAAGTTCATTTTACGGTTTTCCTAGTTGGGTTTCAAACATCTCTATTCTGCTGCTTAGCTATGCAGCCCTCTTTTGGGATTGTTGTTGTTATTTTTACAGTTACTATTGTTTTTAAACTAATATTTGCTGAGAGTTCTTTCTGTAAGTCCTCTGAGGAGAAAGTGTCCTTTCTTATTACCTGATGTGGGAGATAGACATTTTATATGGAGATTCTATGAAGCCATTATAGGTGGTGGTACATGTTGGAATAGAGATGTAGTGGAGGAAGATGTGAATATGGCAGGAAGCATTTAGGAACACTTTGAGGAAGGGACCGATCTACTGTTTTCTCAAACTGTATGAAACTTCTTGCCACGCTTCACATTTGCTGTAGTCTTTCAAGCGTCTGTGTGCCCATTTCTTTATGGAGTGCTCCGCCACTTCGTCTCTGACAGATCCAACCTAAAGAGGATGACTAACATGATAGGTATGTTTGAATTCCACAGAACTCATGCCCGCTGGTTGTTCCTTACAGTGGTATGTTTGTATGGATGTAATATTCTCTTAAATTTCTCTAGGAAAGGTAGAATTTTTTAAAGATTTCCTCCTAGTTAGGGAACTCACACTTGCAACTAATGGCTCTCCCCAATGCTGGAAGCCTCTACTGTCACCCTTCGCAACAAAATGGATTTTGCATCAGATCTTAAATTACTCACGTCTAAATCAGTATTGAATGGGTGAGTGTGATTGAGGACCCTCATTACTGATGTGAACCCTAGCTGTAAAGCAGGGTGGTGCAGAGCATTTCCTGGGTTCTGTCTTAGGGAGACAAGACTCCTACACATTGCAAGTCTAGACAGAAACACACATACCATCTACTACATGTTACACATAATTTCCTTCTGTAACAGCATAAAGCATGAAACATTTAAATTTCTGTTGAATTTAATCTGCCATGTTCTTTTACCTCCAGTGTCATTAAAAAAGAATTCCATTCAAACAAGAATTTAAAATTTATTAACCAATATTTAGTCATTGATTCCATAGTTTGTTTTTTTTTTTCGTCTGATTCTTTTTTTCTCTTTTAGGTCATACAGTATTTATATCACTTTTATTTAGGAAAAATTAATCAGAGTTTCTTATTTGTGAGTAGTTAGGTATTTTTTAAATAATTATGTGTAACTTTCATATGCCAACTTGCAAGTATATTTAAAATGTTTATTACTGTATCATATCCATATATGGATATAGTGTAGTCTCCCTTTCTCCCTATTTTCAGACATTTGGGCTTTTTGCAGTTACTCTTTTTTGTAAGTAACACGGCAAAAACCATTTTAGTCAGGGTTCTAGGTTACAAGAAACAGAGGCAGATTTTGGTTAAAAAAACAGAAAACGAATTTATTGGAAGACTTGAGCAGCTCACAGACACAGTGGGAAGTTTGGAGGACCGGGCTTGTAAACCAGGCAGTTATCAAGGTAGGCAGAAAAATGGGCCTAGAAACTCCTGAGAATCAGTCTGGTTCAGGGCTGCACCGAGGCCACCAGACACCCCCGATAATGATCACTGCTGCCACCTTCACTGCTATCAACACTGGATCCTCGCTGCTACTGCTGTCACCATTAATCACTTCCCCACTTTCCCTGCATCTTTGAATCTCTCTCTCTCCCTCAAGAGTCAAAGTCCAGGGTGTTCCCTTCTGATTGTCTGAATCTAGGTCATTTGCTTGTCTTCTTGATGCCAGTGGGTAGGGAGAAGGAGTGTCTGGTGGGTACCTGTTCCCTAGAGAGACTCATGCAGTATTTGGTTTCACTGAAGCAGGAAGGGAGATTGGATGCTGGGGCCAGGAAGAGACAGTGTAAGTCTTTCTGCGTAAGTTTTTGCATGTACTTCTTCTGGTTACCACTTAGGGTTTGATCCCTGGTATTAGAGTCATGAAACCAAAGTGTGTGTTGCCCTCCATCTGCCCCTTTATTCTTAGTGTTCTTCATGATCCTTCTGTCCTTGTGCTACATGCTTCCCTTTGTGACCTCGCCCATTCCCATGGTCTAAGGGTTTGAACCATTATAGAATTATGGGTGATCCAAAGTATTCATTTCCAATCCAGGTCTCTATCTTGAACTTCAGACAAACATATTTAACTACCTAACATAATCTGTGGATATCCTGGGGACATCTGTGGATATCAGAAGGCCCCAAACAGAATTCATCATCATCATTTTCCTCCTCGAACTGCCATGTCTCTGGTATTCCCTAGTTTGGTTCTTATGACCACCATCCCACTAGCTGATCAAATCAGGAATTTGGTTTTTATCCTTGATTCTTACTCCTCCCTTCATTCTTCCATCAAATTGTCTCCAGATTCTGTAAACTCTGCTTCCTAAGTATCTCTGGAATTGGTCCTGTGTGCTTCATTCCCAGGAAACGTTCTGACTTCAGGCGCTCATCACTTTTCTTGTAGGTTACGGCTTTTGCGTCTTAACTGGATTTTCTGCCTCCAGTCTCACCCTCACCTGCTCCAGTTTTAAAGTGCACAGCCAATTGTGTTGTTTCTCTAAGATGCTCCTAAGATTATTTCCTTTAGGAAGCATTCTCCAAACACGTTTTCTCCTTGCCCCTTCCTGTTAACAGAGGTTAGTTGACCCTCCCTGTTCTCCATGGAACCCTGGGTTTACCAGCACTTTTCACACCTTGTTAAAATCTTTGCTGTCAAGAGACTGAGAACTCCTGAGGGCAGGAACGTGTGAGATTCATATTGAATCACCAGTGCCCAGTGTAATGCCTCCCCATAGGAGGCACTCAGTACGAGGTTTTTGAATGAATGTTATGAATGGCTTTTAACCCATTAAGAAACTAATGTTAGTTCAATAACGAGTTAGATGAACAGGTTTTTTTTCAAATATTTATTTATTCGGCTGCATCGGGTCTAAGTTATAGCATGCAGGATCTTTAGTTGCGGCGTGCGGGATCTAGCTCCCTGACCAGAAATCGAACCCGGGCCCCCCGCATGTGGAGTGTGGAGTCTTAGCCACAGGACCACCAGGGAAGTCCCTAGATGACCAGTTATGATCATGAAACCCAAACCACCGAGTCTATGTTACTTTTCAGGGACAGAGTTTGAAAGTAACATGTCCGTTATAGGGTAAACATGATTTCTTCCTTATTCAACATGTCACAAACCACTTTTTTCAAAGTGGAGAAATGAGAATGTTATGAGACCCAGACTGTGAGGCTAAGAGAGTTATTCCGTAGGGTAGAACGCCCACAAAAGGTAAGCAGATACTTTACGCAGAGTTGGGAGATGATGAAACCTTAAACTATTGAATTTTTTTTCTTGCACTATCCCAAGTTAATTCTGTTTTTTTAATATTTGTTTTGTTTTTTATTTGTTTTTGTGAGGAACACTGATGTAGCGGTCTGAAAGGTATATTTTGGAAAAAGAAATGTAGCATAAGAATGACCTGGTGATCCTTGTTTCCTTTTAGGGAGATCAGTCTGGCTGGCTGGTCCCGGGAGAAGGATACACACCTGCAGTCACCCAGCATGAGCAGCTTGCTAAAATTGATACAAAACTCCAAGAACTTTCTGCCGTTTACCCAACAATTTCCAGCTCTTCTCCAAGACCTGAACGTCAGAATGATGAGGTATGTTTAACTCTAGAGCCCATAGGCTGTTCAGGTTTATGTGTGCTAAAGCTAGTTCACATAATATGACAATCTGCTTGTTAACTAAAGAGGTTTCTTCCCAGTTGCCTTTTCAGTGGCTGCAACTGCAGTGACAGTGATTTCTACAAGTGTCTATTTTCCTTCGCCAGTTTCCACTTTCTATTCATTTTCTTTACAGTTGGTAATTTGCTGAGATGGGGTGAAATATTTATTTTGATATTGTTATATCTTTATGATATAAGCTAATGCTTGATCATGATCGGGAGAGAGGAGAGGGAAGAGAGGGAAGAGAATAGATACAGCACTCCTTAGTCCTTTGAGAGCTTTACTTCTTTTTGTTCCTTTGGTTCTAGGTGTTAGCGGTGGCAGTCACCTGTCTCTTACTCTGACACATTCTTCTAGCTCCTTTGATTTACCAGGAAGCAGTGAAGCTCACTCTGTTGATAACTTCTCTCCTGTGAGAATTTTGAAATGAGTACGTTTCCTTTCTGGATAGTTCCCTCAAATATTCTTTTACAAAGCTAACAGAGGGTGAAGAAAAACGGAAGGGTAACCACAGCTTTGGAGCAGTAAAATTCCTTTCTCCCCCTAATATTTCAGTACTTCGTGGGATCTAGTTTGGGGTTGGGTGGTAGTTTTTGCCTGAAGAGAAAATGGCTGGTCTTTTGTTATTCCACTAACCCTCTACCAGTTTTGTAAACATATCACCAAATCATTTTCTGTACAATATTAGATGCATGTGATTTTCCTGGTTTTTAAGAAGATTTAAATAATATCAGTAGCCTATAGGGAATAATTCTGCTTTATAGTCAGTCTTTTCTCCAACCTGTCAATTGAAGATTAGGGATCTGGGTTTGGATCAGTTGAAGCTACTTCAGAGGAAAGGAGCAGTGTTAAGATGTTCCAAAGAAAGTTTGGTCGTGATGGAACCTTACGGAGCCATCGCGGCTTCCTTAAATTATGTTCCTAAGGGCCAGGCACAGCTGCCTCTGAGCCCTTTACACAGCAGTATGGTGGGAGTGGGAACCACTGTTTTCTGGATTGAGATCAGACTTCTTGGAAGACAGAGAATTGGAATCTCTGTCCCTACCCAAATATACCGCAGGACTTTGACACATCAACAGGTATGCTGCTAGTTTATTTACGTTACTGGGTGCCATTTCCCAAAAGGAGGAAGCCAGGATGGGGGAGTAAAATGGTTCAGGGATATTCTTTGTTCTTTTTGTGTTACAGCTGATTTTTGTTGTTGATGTTGTTGTTACTGTTGTTAGATATCAAGGGTCGCTGAGATCTCAAAGCTGGATAATGGTCCTAAAGATAGAAAATGTCTCTTTTGTGACCATCAAAAGTTATTCCCGAAAGAGAGACTGAGAATTTAGAGATTTGTTTAACCATTAGGACTTCAGATAAAGTATGACTGTGGTCATTGTCATCTCCGTCACATTTTCAGAGTTCACATTTATGGTTTAAATAAAATATTTAAAAAATAATCAAAGGGAAAACCAGTACATTACTTAGTTGTTACATACTGATATTATATATTTTTGTGTGAAACAGTATATTTAGAGAAAAGAGAAAACTGCATTTTGGGACTCTCACTGGCTGCAGAAACAGAAAAGTAACATCATAGTTGTTGAAAAGAAATAATTAGTGATTCTTGTATGCAAAAAAGAGTGTATTTTGAGGTTTCATTCAATTTCCTGTTGGCATTTCCTCATTTCTAACTAAAACCAGGATTGCATATTGAATTTTCAAGCCAAAAATGAAAACATGGCAAATTATTTTACGGATATTATTATTATTTTTTAACATCTTTATTGGAGTATAATTGCTTTAAAATGGTGTGTTAGTTTCTGCTGTATAACAAAGTGAATGAGCTATACATAAACATATATTCCCATATCTCCTCCCTCTTGCATCTCCGTCCCAGCCTCCCTAGGTGGACACAAAGCACCGAGCTGATCTCCCTGTGCTATGTGGCTGTTTCCCACTAGCTATCTGTTTTACATTTGGTAGTGTATATATGTCCATGCCACTCTCTCACTTCATCCCAGCTTACCCTTCCCCCTTCCCGTGTCCTCAAGTCCATTCTCTACATCTGCGTCTTTTTTTTTTTTTTTTTTTTCGGTACGTGGGCCTCTCACTGTTGTGGCCTCTCCCGTTGCAGAGCACAGGCTCCTGACGCGCAGGCTCAGCTGCCATGGCTCACGGGCCCAGCCGCTCCGCGGCATGTGGGATCTTCCCGGACCGGGGCACGAACCCGTGTCCCCTGCATCGGTAGGAGGACTCTCAACCACTGCGCCACCAGGGAAGCCCTATCTGTGTCTTTATTCCTGTCCTGCCAGTAGGTTCTTCAGAACCATTTTTTTTTTTTTTTAGATTCCATATATTTGTTTAGCATACAGTATTTGTTTTTCTCTTTCTGACTTACTTCACTCTGTATGACAGACTCTAGATCCACCACCTCACTACAAATAACTCAATTTCATTTCTTTTTATGGCTGAGTAATATTCCATTGTGTACATGTGCCACACCTTCTTTATCCATTCATCTGTCGATGAACACTTAGGTTGCTTCCATGTCCTGGCTATTGTAAATAGAGTGGCAATGAAGACTGTGGTACATGACTCTTTGAATTATGGTTTTCTCAGGGTATATGCCCCGTAGTGGGAATGCTGGGTTGTATGGTAGTTCTATTTTTAGTTCTTTAAGGAACCTCCATACTGTTCTCCATAGTGGATGTATCAATTTACATTCCCACCAACAGTGCAAGAGGGTTCCCTTTTCTCCACATCCTCTCCAGCATTTATTGTTTGTAGAATTTTTGATGATGACCATTCTGACTGGTGTGAGCTGATATCTGATTGTAGTTTTGATTTGCATTTCTCTAATGATTAATGATGTTCAACATTCTTTCATGTGTTTGTTGGCCATCTGTATGTCCTCTTGGGAGAAATGTCTATTTAGGTCTTCTGCCCATTATTGGATTGGGTTTTTTGTTTTTTTGATATTGAGCTGCATGTGCTGCTTGTAAATTTTGGAGATTAATCCTTTGTCAGTTGCTTCATTTGCAAATATTTTCTCCCATTCTGAGGGTTGTCTTTTCGTCTTGTTTATGGTTTCCTTTGCTGTGCAAAAGCATTTACATTTCATTAGGTCCCATTTATTTATTTTTGTTTTTATTTCCATTTCTCTACGAGGTGGGCCAAAAAGGATCTTGCTGTGATTTATGTTTTAGAGTGTTCTGCCTGAGTTTTCCTCTAAGAGTTTGATCGTGTCTGGCCTTACATTTAGGTCTTTAATCCATTTTGAGTTTACTTTTGTGTATGGTGTTAGGGAGTGTTCTAATTTCATTCTTTTACATGTAGCTGTCCAATTTTCCCAGCACCACTTATTGAAGAGGCTGTCTTTTCTCCATTGTATATTCTTGCCTCCTTTATCAAAGATAAGGTGACCATATGTGTGTGTCTGTTTTTGTGCCAGTACCATACTGTCTTGATTACTGTAGCTTTGTAGTACAGTCTGAAGTCTGGAAGCCTGATTCCTCCAGCTCCATTTTTCTTTCTCAAGATTGCTTTGGCTATTCGGGGTCTTTTGTGTTTCCATGCAAATTGTGAAATTTTTTGTTCTAGTTCTGTGAAAAATGCCATTGGTAGTTTGATAGGGATTGCATTGAACCTGTAGATTGCTTTGTGTAGTATAGTCATTTTCACAATGTTGATTCTTCCAATCCAAGAGCATGGTATATCTCTCCATCTATTTGTATCATCTCTCTTTCATCAGTGTCTTTTAATTTTCTGCATATAGGTCTTTTGTCTCCTTAGGTAAGTTTATTCCTAGGTATTTTATTCTTTTTTGTTGCAATGGTTTCAGATTTTTGAAACTATTGCAAGAAATGATTTCAAAAGTGATCTGAAAAATCACTTTCAGATTTTTCATCATTATTGTATAGGAATGCAAGAGATTTCTGTGCATTAATTTTGTATCCTGCTACTTTACCAAATTCATTGATTAGCTCTAGTAGTTTTCTGGTAGCATCTTTACGATTCTCTATGTATAGTATCATGTCATCTGCAAATAGTGACAGCTTTACTTCTTCTTTTCCAATTTGGATTCCTTTTATTTCTTTTTCTTCTCTGATTGATGTAGCTAAAACTTCCAAAACTATGATGAATAATAATGGTGAGAGTGGGCAACCTTGTCTTGTTCCTGATCTTAGTGGAAGTGGTTTCAGTGTTTCACCATTGAGGACGACGTTGGCTGTGGGTTTGTAATATATGGCCTTTATTATGTTGAGGTAAGTTCACTCTGTGCCTACTTCCTGGAGGGTTTTTATCATAAATAGGTGTTGAATTTTGTCAAAAGCTTTCTATGCATCTACTGAGATGTTCATATGGTTTTTCTCCTTCAATTTGTTAATATGTGTATCACATTGATTGATTTGCGTATATTGAAGAATCCTTGCATTCCTGGTATAAACCCCATTTGATCATGGTGTATTATCCTTTTAATGTGCTGTGGAATTCTGTTTGCTAGTATTTTGTTGAGGATTTTTGCATCTATGTTCATCAGTGGTATTGTTCTGTAGTTTTCTTTATTTGTGACCTCTTTGTCTAGTTTTGGTATCAGGGTGATGGTGGCCTCGTAGAATGAGTTTGGGAGTGTTCCTCCCTCTGCTGTATTTTGGAAGAGTTTGAGAAGGATAGGTGTTAGCTCTTTTCTAAATGTTTGATATAATTCTCCTGTGAAGCCATCTGGTCCTGGGCTTTTGTTTGTTGGAAGATTTTTAGTCACAGTTTCAATTTCAGTGCTTGTGATTGGTCTGTTCATAGTTTCTGTTTCTTTCTGGTTCAGTCTTAGAAGGTTATGCATTTCTAAGAATTTGTCCATTTCTTCCAGGTTGTCCATTTTATTGGCATATAGTTGCTTGTAGTGATCTCTCATGATCCTTTGTAATTCTGCAGTGTCAGTTGTTACC